TACAGAATAATATTCTTTTTGTTAATGGATCCAATGCATGAAACATCTGTAAAATTTTACACATGTTAACTTGTCTCTTTAAGCTGAAAAATGTAATGTCTATGCGATTTTTATTATTATCATTTCAAAGCCCGCCTCAGTAACGTATGCTACGTATTAGCCGCAGCATTTATGCAAAGGCGAATCCACCAATCACAATATACACAAGTGACCTTGAAGTGCTCAGCCTCTCCATAAGGTCGTGTGTGCCTCTATCCATTGCCGCTGTTCCAATATCTCAAGGTCCCCGAGGTTTGTCTTCATTATTTTATGCACAGTGAGTAGTTTGTTTTCGAACAGGTCTGTGTTATGATATAGAAATGTAAAATTTGCAAGGTAATCAACCGATAAAAATGGGCGCTCCTAAATTGCCAAAAATTGAATAATTGCCTTGGAAATGTCGTAAGGCGGAAAGAAATTTTTGGGAATGTCACATTTTACGTCTGTTCGACACATGTTCATAATGATTGTGTGAAGGATAAACGGCTGACACATATTCATTACTACTAAGTAAGGGTGATTCCGGGGGATGCATGCTTGTGGATAAACTAACCTATAACCCCCTCTAGATGTATCTCGGTTCATGCTATCACACTTAAAATCATCACACAAAGGAAACAGTATCATATCTCTTATCTCCAGTAATATATGACGTGCCACTGCTTTTAATTGGTTTATTATGAAAATGCACATAAACATAGGATATATCCTACAACGTTAGTAATACAATATACATAGTATTACTAACGTTGTACTATATCAGTTTCTCAACCTAGTTCATCATGGTTTTCTTTAACTTTTATCTTCGTTTCTAAGTCTTATGTACATATCTTACTTCGAGTTATTTACTAGTTAAAACAATCATACCCTCCAGGTTTCTAAGTCTGTAATTAAAGGATGCTCATTAAAACTTGATTTTCTTAAGCAATAATGCAAGCGCTTGTATACCTTGTTTCCATCTTAATTGCAGTATTCAATATATGTACTTGCTTTATTTGTTTTTCATATCATACTCTGTATAACCTTCTTGCTAAGTTCTAATTTTTTTAAAAATCTTTTATATTATCCAAATGAAAAGCAGATGAGGTGTAAAAACTGGAATCACTTGGAAGCATTGCTAAGTTCTATATTATTATTATTAACTGGCCTATGGCACACTAAGAGCACTATAAAACCTGACAACTTCAAGGAAAATGAATTCCTTTGCCGGAGGAGATTTTGTATGTCCTTAAGGCTGCTTAAAACTGATAATGCGGGTCCAAAGAGCCTATTGTTTAAGTGTTTCGAATTTGCCTATATTTATTTTTGAAGATTTGTCAATCGATAATAGTTGAGTATAAATATATCACTATGATCAAGCTAGGATTTAAAAACTACCGTAATACGGGCCCTTCGTCTGAAACAGAAATAGAGAAAGAATTCAACCAAAGGACGTGTATACTGCTGAGTAGTTCGCCCCGTCCTCCTTTATGGCTGTGAGTGAGACACATGGCCATTGAAAGTGGAACACATGAAGCGACTGGCTGGCTGTCTTTCATCATAGGAGTCTGCTTTCCATCTCCTATGTTAGGTGGCATAATATGGTCAATAATATTGGGGTTTGCCTTCGGTCGAGTGCTAGGTAAGGAAGGAAAATCACTCGACGAGGTTGTAAAGTAACATGGATTGAGAGGGATGCTTAGGACATGTGTTACACAGGCCTGACCTATCCATCAACTTCCTTGACAACGGGCAGTCTTAGCTGACTGACATAGGATGGATTAGGTTGAGGAAAAGCTAGCACGTGGTGGTCAAACCAAAACATAGCTTCATCAATCAATGGAATCCATAACAGTTAGTTTAAGCCAACCAACTATCCAGCCACGTATGAGACAGGTGTAGACTGTCTGACTGACTGGTTGGAGTCCTCGGGATGGTATGAACCAATGGCGGCTCGAGATAATTGGTGATATGGCTCAAAATCCTCGTTGTCAATGACAGGGCAAATGCATGCACTCACTCTTTGTCATTTATCAGCCATATCGAATAAAAGTCTATTTTTCTTCCATATTACTACTATTGTTTTTTCCTCACACTTTTGTTTATTATCTCTCCCTGTTTTGAATCTTTCTTTACTCTCTTCCCTGGAGAGTGGCAACTTGAGCTGGTGCACATCTGTGCAAAGTTCTATGTTGAAACCAGTCAGTCAGTCAAACATTTCACCCTACTATTATGCTAACCCGTGCTGTGACACTACTTTCCTAGCTTTTACCCATTTGTGTAATCTGACCTAATTGAATTATCCAGACCAAAAGTTACTTTAAAATACTTAATATTAGTCTCCTTAGTAACAAAGATATATTTGTCTCAATGTGTTTTTGGAGGATAATTTTAATAACATATAAGTTATTATTATAATTGCATTGAATTATCACTAGTTTTTAGATCTCCCGAAAATGCACCATTTTCTCTTATGAATGTAATTATGTCCTGCATTTAGAAGTCCCTAGTCAGTGAATTAACAAAATAAGCTTCCTTTTTGAATCCATCATGTGTGCATCCTCTCGGTAATTCTTGTTTGAATGTAAATTATTAAACTTGGCCACTCACTCAGCTTTCTAGAGGCACATTTTATTTTCAGATACTATCCCAACAACTTAACTTGGATAAGAAGGTTGCGTTTTATTGTTATTTACGCGACATAACTTATAACCCAATTACTTACTGAGAAGTCGAACACGTTCTTGTTTAAACGAATAACTTATAACAAATATTCCTAGCAGTAAGATAGTAAATAAAATTCTTGAAATACATAGCGTTCATCACATCAGGAACAATAATAGTTAACAAACACTTTAGTAAGCGAATAAACTTCTAAACTATGGTGTAAACCTAACTAGTTAACAGTGACGTATTTAATTTAAGATTGAAGTATCGCATAATATTATGAAACAGCTGTGTAAAACTACTTTTTAAAGTTAGCTTACGAATTGACATCAGTTAGAGAACCATTGAAAGCAAAGGAGTACTGGACTACAGCTGTTTCGTCCCACTCTAGGACTGACTTCAGAACTACGCACCGACGACATTCACAATGCTAGGGATAGAACCTAAAAGCCCCAGGTTACGAGACGAGCTCACTAACTATTCAACCACTATGAGAGAATCTGATAGCCCGTGAGTTGTAACTCCTATCAGTCCTGGACCTTTAACTGATTGCATTCTTATTTTCTAACGAAATGTACTATACTGTACATAAAGGTGAATCCTCCTCTGTCTTGCTTACTGAAGCTGTTTCCCCTCAAGGTGCTGTTCTTTGTCCTTTTCTTTTTTCTTACATGGCTTACTTCTTTCGGATGAAATCAACTTTGTAAAATATGCTGATGACCTGACTGTCCCACTGCCAGTTTCGTCCCAATCTGACTGTTGCAAGCTGAATAGCTTTTTGTCGGACATCAGCCAGTGGTCTAAGCTAAAATCGTCTTACCTTAAATCCCTCTAAATATCAGACAGTTAACTTTATCTTATGCCATAGATGTGGTCTCCAAGATCTGGTTCGCTTACATGACGCTTGTAGCGTAGAGGTCACGAATAGAAAGTAATTCTAGCATAAAATGCCTTGCAATAGTTTTATCCTCCGGTCTTTCTTGGTCATCTCATATTTTGTCAGTTTTTAAGAAAACGTTCCATCTAACCTACTATTTTAAGAAGTTAAGACAATCTGGTATCATACAACCTCTACTTTTAAAGTTTTTTAACTCTTGTATCTTACCTGTTGTTCTTTATTGCTCTTCGTGGACTGCTCAAAAAGTGTCATAATGTGAAGGATATTAAAGGTTGTCAGTAGGGCAGGTGGTGTGCCACTCAGTCAGTCAGTTCTTTAATATTGTCATCAACAGACATCTGAACTCATGTGAGAAGTAGTCTAAGTCCATATTGTCTGACTCTCAAAATCTCCTGTATTCACACCACTCCCTTCTCTTGCATCTCATCAGGTAGGAATAGAAGTCATTATAAAAGATTAAATGCTCGTACAACAAAGTAGAGAAACTCAACGATACCATATTTGGTTAACATGCTAAACGATAAACCTATAACTTACTTTGTGATTAGCAAAATATTTGGCTCTTATTTTGTCCTGTTTGTAATCTATGGCGACACTGTTTCAATGAACTTATAATTTTAGCTATTAACATTATTATAATTATTTTTGTGCTTTTTTGACCTTACTGTCAAAGCAAATAGCAAAAAAAAACTGGCAATATCAAACCTGTAATATTAGATATGATGGAGAAGATTTGTAGCTCAGGTGGATGATTTTGATGTAGTGGTGTTCTCTGAGCTGGACAGTTAATTTGCGAAGCTTTCATCGCCCTACTAGGCGACATCTTCAACGCATGCTTCAATTTGAAGACTTCGAATTGAAGTACTGTTTTGGAATTTAGCAAATTATTATTATCGTTATTTCAAGGACCTGAAGTCCTAGTTCATTGATCCTTGCTCAGGTTATATATAATTGAATCATGAGTTTGAATACTGGTCCATTTGGATATATATAGCCAAATAATATCACTGGATCCCAGTAGTTTAATGGTCTGCGAGCTCTCTCGCCTTGTTACCGGAAGGTCCTGAGTTCGAACCTTGTCGGCGGGCACAAACACTGCCGGAGAGTCCCAGAGTAGGCTGACGGAACAGCTGTCCAGCACTCCGTGACTCCTTTTCCAATGGTTATATAGTCGATGTCAGCTCTTTATAAAATCCTGTAACCAATCAAATCACATCCCTGGAAAACAACCCTTCGATGCCATTTTGGATATATGGCTCTCAGCATAGTATACATAAGCTTTCACTAGATTTTAAAGTTGCATAACTTACTGCTAGTTAATGTAGTGCATCTTCCCTTATTTCATCTCCTATTACATATTAGTTATACTGTTTATGAAATTTTCTTTATTACAGATCAATCAATCAAACTTTGATTGACCAATTTATTATTAATATACAGCATTAATTTCCATAAAAAACAGTGATGTTTGGAACGTGTATTACAACATTCATTATCAGGTAGAAAGTCTTTGCCGAAAAAGCTAAATTCTCTTGTTATTCTAGAACAAATGTTAAATTCATTTACAACAGTGAACCAGTTCGATTTATGGGCAGTTTGAATAAAGTTCTTTATCCTTGGATGAACAGGAAAAAACCATTTTGGGTTAAACAACAGGCTAATCCTTATACAGATGATGATATTACACCTGAAAACAAACTGTTCTTGGAACAAGAGCGTATGAATGTATTGACTTGTAATACAAGCCCAATTATTACTGAACAATTGGTTCAAGTACCATGGACACCTTATGTTACACAACGATGTGGTCTAATTGCAGTGAAGTTAGGCATGTATCCTTTATGGACTAAAACTGGACGAAAAATAGACTGTACAATTTATCAGGTAAGCTTTCTTTTGTGTCGTGTTGTTATACTGTTCTAATACTTTATTTCTTATAGTACCGATGATGTGTCATTTTGATTTTCTTTTAATTCTTTGACTACCTGAAACAGAAAGAGAATTGGTGTTGCGTAGCTGCAAAGCCCAGGGGACAACTGCTTGAAACCGGTCACACACGGCGCTTTTGAACTGACTTTTAGGTTTGGTTCCGTATCAGTAACTTACCACCGGCTACGGGCCACCGTAGAGTAAGTCGGGATGTATAATTTTGGGGGTCGACTTTTTCTAACCGCGTCTCTCCAGATTGAGGAAACAGCATAGCCAGCATGCTGGCCATCTGATGGAAACATCTTACTGCTGATAAATCCCTGTTCCTTAGCAGTACGACTTTTCCCATAGGCCCCCAGCATAGTGTAAAAATCCTTACACTATGGCCGTAACTTCTATTGGTCTAATCGCTATTCTAACAATACTCCTGGCATGGTAGAACCTGCAGGGACATTATTTCCAACCAGTGTAGCTTGTTGGGTCATTACGATATGCAAGCCCGACCATCAGGTCAGGGTAACAGCTATCGGCCGGGCAATGTTAGCTGACATAGGATAGGTCAGGTTGGAAAAGAGCTAGTCGTGGTCAAACCAAAAAATGGCCTCATCAGTCAGTGAAATCCATAACAGTTAGTTTAAGCCAACCATCCAGCCACGTAAAAAGGGTGTAGCTGGTTGAAGTCCTCGGGAGGTAAGAACCAATGGTGGCTGGAGACAATTGGTGATATGGTTCAAAATCCTCGTTATCATTGGCTGGCGCAGATGCATACATCCACTCTTTGTGATTTGTCAGTCATATCGAATGAAAGTCTGTTGTTCTTCGATATTACTACTACTGTGCTTCCCTCACACTTCTGTTTATTATCTCTATTTGCTTTGAATCTCTCTTTACTGTCTTCTCTTGCTTTGTGTGGTACATGGAGGAAGAGTGGCAACTTAAACTGGTGCGCACATCTGTGCAAAGTTCTATGTTGAAACCAGTCAGTCATCAGTCATTTTGATTTAAATTGGCTCACTGTAGCACAAATATATCCACCTTAATTTTTATTGGATTATCGTTTTTCCAATTACACTTATATACACGTCTATCCTGACATCATTCTGTTCATCTACTTTTCTTTGATGTGCATTGTTCCGAGGTGTGTAAACTTAAAATGGTTCACTTCTGTGCCAGGTTCTACATTAATTCAGGGGAAGGGAGCTGGTGGCGCTTCATCAAAGTATGCAGTCGACTTTGAACCAGTTTAACAAGGGAGCTGCTGAAGATGACGGTGTGAACAGTCGGACAGTGCTGTCGGACTACCCTCAACAGATTGGCTTATCACCAAGCGCTTTAATATGCATATAGCTATCGAGTAATGTACTACACTATACAACACTGATGACTAGTCATTAGGCTCTATTTGGAAGCAATTTTTTTTCGAAAGTATCAAATTAAACGACGGGAAACTTTCTCCCGGAACTCTTTGTGGTCACTTTTGTTGCCTTCAGTATGTAATGTTTGTTAGATCACTTGAATGAAATCACCAAAGTTATTGGAGCACATATGTAAAATTTGGCACATTCCAGAGTAGTATTTAGCAAAAAAAATACAGTTATCAGTTAACTGAAGTCAGATTTGTTGAAACACAGCGGTGCTTAATCGGGCCTTTGTTTGAGTTCAGGGTATTTTTCATATGAGAAGAGTGGTGTGTTCTGGCAGTCTGAGCACTTTGTGTTCGAAACATCAACTGCATTCTGCTTGCTTAGGATGAATGGCAGAATATCGTTCATCATACTATTATGACACACAGCGTCCTACTATATTACAAGATAGGCTTTTGAATAAGAGATTCCAGAGTAGCGTTATAAAATACAAAGGAACTTTCATTTTATAGTGAATTTGTTTACGGGATTTCATCATGAGCTGACATTGGTTAGAGAAGCACTGGAAAACCTGGGAGTACTGGACAATCGTTTCGTCCTAGTTTGGGACTATTCATCAGTGCGCACCCGCCGGGGTTCGAACCCAGGACCTTCTGGTTACAAGACGAGCTCGTAGACCAATGGCCCATGAATTCTAACTTCTGCCAATTCACGATATAGCGCAACCGCTAGCCAATGTCTTCGGTGAGTATTTGTCCTCACACCCGACCTGCTGCACCCTACTGGTCACGGCTTCTGAATTAGTATTAGTGAATGAGTATTATATTTCCCTATTAAAATTCCTGTTACTTCTGACTATTTGGTGGTACGGTTGAGGGTGAGTAGACTTCGGTCTTCCTCTTGGAAATGCTCTCATGTGTTCACTGCTTCTGCCAGGTAAGTCTTATTCACTGCCTTCACGCGGCGGTGGGGTTCCCCTCAAAGGTAAAAGGGCGAATTTGAACGTCTGGCGCTTACAACCAGACTGGTGCACAACATGAAATTCTACCTCGGGAGGGAAGTTGGAAAACACTAATTCCAAACATATGGTGTACACATGGACTCCAGAATCTGAACGAATTGAATGATGTATGAGCTTGTTTCGGTCACTGGAAAGCATAAAAAACGTACCTCCTGACGCTACTCTACTGCCTTGTGTGGGAGACTTCAAGTCAGAATCTGGGGGCTGGTGGCCCCCTTACAACAACAACAACCGCCTGCTTCGATGTGGGCTTACCAGCAGTATATCCCAGCCCTCACACAAATTATGGGATTCTCTGTGGTGCATCTCTTAGGGCCTATAATGCCTAAAGTGAACAGTGTAAACTCCCTTACGCAAACCTAGAATGCTCAAATCTGGTGGAAAATCACAAGTGCCTTGTTTAGGGCTTATATAGTTCGTCTGAACTTTGCCCAACATTTTCAAGTTGTCAGAAGTCTCTCTCTCTGTAGTACAGTATGCTTGTAAGTATATGCACGTCTGTGTCTATCCTTCAGTAGCCGTCCAATGTTCACCCAGCAACTCAAAGATGTCTTACCTAAGCTTAGTTCTTCTTCATGCATATACCATTTCAACTGTTCCTGTGGTTCAAGTTATATAGGGCGCACGATTAGGCAGGTTCGTCTACGGGTTCGAGAGCATTTACCAGCTTTGTTCAGCAGGGGGGAAATTAAGTGCATAAAAAGCTCGATCCTGTCACACTTGGTCGATACTGGACATCATATCAATGTCAACACAGCTTTCAGGGTTATATACCGAATCCCGAAGTCGTTACCACGTACAGTTCGCTTACGTCTTCTACACATAGCTAAAGCTGTTGCAATAAGATCTACTAAACCGGAACGTTGTATCCAAAAAGAACACGTCCAGACGTTGTTCCTACCGTGGCCAAACTTGGATTGATGATTCTTCTTCTCACCAAGAGTGCTCCTTCCCCTTAACCCTCTTGGCTTTTTTTCCTTTGCTTATTATTACAATTATTATTATTATTCGTCATAATTTATGCCCTACATGCAAACATTCTCTCAATACTATCGAACTTTTCGTTTATACTATCCGGACTTATTATTAGTGATATTTCTCAATATATGCCTCCACTTGTTTCATCTCACATATTCGTTATCTCATTATGAACCTCCCATTGAAGTCTTACTATCTCATGTTTAACACAGACCACTTTGTACCAGCCACTCTACTGACACCATGTATAACCTTGAACTGACTTGTCAATTTTCCTACCCCACACTCTACAAATCTATTATGATTAATCACCATTGTCTCCCGTTTTACAATATTTTGTAATCGAATTCAGCCTAGCACGTTTGCTACACAAATACGACTATTTATTTTGACACCCCATAACTAATCTGTTATTCTACGTTAAAAATGTATCTGCCGCATAACTGGCCTTTATTGTAACGACAACAAATATTATATTTTATAATTGTAAGAACCTGAAGAAAAATTATTGCAAAGAATATTCTTCGTTCAGATTGACTTTTAATTCATAATATGGGAATTTTCCACACTATCAAATCATATGCAGACCGGCTATTGTACAGCCTTGCTCCGTTCGAAACTCCATCTTTAAAATATCCCAGTGTGGTGTAACGACATGGATAAGTATGTCTTATGTGCACTTAGATCATATACAGTATTGATCTCGAGCATACCATGAAGAAATGTCTAATTGACAGTTTTGCATTATATACAACGACAGCGGGGCACAAGTCAGGAACTATTCTATAAAGGTGGAGGCGTGGTTTGATCACTCAACTTCCAGTCAATGGTTCCCGGGCTCGAATCCCACCACACCTATCTCAGTCTGAGAAACTAGGTAGTATTATCTGTCATCACAGGATAAGTATGGCTTGTGACTAACTCGGTACTACTGGATAGGTGAATTGTAATTAATTGAGTTAATGAAGTAACTCCATGAAAGCATTCCTATTGGCAGAAATTGGAATTCATGGGTTGGCCATTGGATCGGATCCCAGTGGCTGATTGGTCTACGAGTTAGCTTGGCTTGTAACCAGAAGGCCGTGGATTGGAACCTTGGCAGTCGGGTAGGTATGTACTACTGAAGAGTCCCAAACTAGGTGGATGAAACAGCTGTCCAGTACTGCATTAGTGGTTTTCTAATGGTTCTCTAAGCGATGTCAGCTCATAATGAAGTCCTGTAACCACTCCTATTTCAAATAAATGCTCTTTCTTTACCATTTTCTACTCCTCTTTGTTTGTCTGAATCACTGTTATCACTACCTCTTTTGAATTCTGCCTCCCTTTTAGATACCTGATAATCATGCTATTCGTTATACTCCTCCAGCAGAAATTGACAAATTCATCAGTCTTCTACATCCTCGTCATTACTGGTTAACTAGTAAACGTCCACCATCTTGGATAAAACAGAAACGTTGGGGTATTCAACTAGTCGGAGCATTTTCTGCTGATCCTATTGAATTCACTCCAGAATGGTGTAATTTATTTAAAGAGGCTGGAATACCACCGAAGCGTAAAATTTCACGTTTTCTAGTTAGTCCAGATGCTGCTTTAAAACCTGGTCAGTTTGAATACAAAATTTGTGTTGAATTTTTTTTTGTGACAAATATTACGAACTGGTTTCGATTAGTTTAACGGTTATAGTACGATTCAGATTCAAGCTAACACTTGAATGTCAAACTGGTGCTCACTAGCGACTGGCTCCAGGTGAGAAGTGGTGACCAGTGGGGGGTACAGCAGGTCGGGTGGGGGGACAAACACCCGCCAGCGATGACATTGGCTAGTGCCAGTCGCTCTATATCGTGAGTTAGGAGAAGTCGAAATTCATGGACTAGTCATTGGGTGGGGTCTCAGTGGCCTAATGGTCTGCAAGGTCGCCTTGTAAGCGTAAGATCCTGGGTCCGAACCCTGGTGGTGAGTGCGCACAGATGAAGAGTCCCAGATTAGGCTGATGAAACAACTCTGGTTGTCCAGTACTCCCTGTTTTCCTTTCAATGGTTCCCTAACCGATGTCAGCTCATGAAGAAATCCGGAAACCAATCAAATCAAATTCCTGCAAACCAGCACTTGAAGATCCAGATTTGTTAGTGTATCTAGGAATGTCACTTGATCAATTATCCGATCGTAAAATACACTATACTGTGCCATCGACAATAAAGGTCTAATTATGATATAATGATAGCTGTCTTTGTAACATTGTTAGGATCTGATGATATAACCACAAATGTAAAGTTGTTAGGACTCAGTTACACGGAACAGATTTTTCCTGTAGCTCTTCAATGATGCCACACTTGTTGTATAAAGATCGATGATACTGCGCAGGTTGATGAAGGTTGGTGGGGCGGGATTTGTACTGGATTAACGTCACATCTCTACCGCTCTTAAACACGATACTTTCGTTAAGGACACAATCAAAAGCCTTCATGAGTTTGTTTCAAGTTTGACCAAGGATTGATATCAGTCAGAGAAGCATTAAGAGACCAGCACTGGAGTTACTGCACAGCTGTTTCGTCAGCCTAGTTTGGGAATCATCACCAGTACGCACCCGTACCACAAATATACAAAACTGTTAATGTCTTCTTTGTATGAAAGTGTTGGTTGTTGATACAACTAACAACAATCGAGGAAGTATGAACTATGTGTAAATGACTGGAAACTCAACCAAATAGCCTTAAATAAATGATGCAAATGTTTCTCTTTTTTATCCTTGGATAATTTTTAAAATTTCTCGGTAATCTTCACTTGATTTTTATCTTTCTATTCAGCTCACAAGTGCATGGGTCGTGTGGATGGTGGCGGCTCTGTGATAGAGTGCTCACCAGTCACAAAGAAAGTCTGGATTCGGTTCCCGGCCAAGGCACCCATAAGCCTCACATATTATTTATTATTATTGTTCCTTTTGGTTCCGAGTGGAACATAGGGCTTCAACAGCACTTCTCCATTTTCTCCTATTCTCTGCGGCCCTCTTTAGTTGGCACCACGATTGCCCGTAATCTCTCATCTCCTCCTCGCACTATCTCTTCCACGTCAAACTTGGACCCACGTCCGAATCGTTGTTTCCTATTCGGGTTCCACTCGGGCCAATTTTCTACAAACCAACACTCAGAAATTAATCTGCTTGCTAATTAGCATCTGGCTACGGGTTGCCATCCCCTGATGTTCTAGAAGAAAGTAATAACCACTTCGCTTCATCAAGTAAGGCGATGTCCACTGGTTGGCGACGGTGCTGCATTTTGCCAACTGGTAAAAGTTAGACCTCATTAGCCATTGGATTCCGTTCCATATTACTGTTGTTTTTCCCAGAGTGGGGCAGGTAGCAAAGTTGTATGCTGAATCCAGTGAGTCAATCTGGTAGTTCTCGTCTCCCCTAATAAATATTATATCGGTGAATAATTGAATCCCTTGCGAATATTATTTTTATTATATATTATTATTATCTCCTTTAGTTCCTAGTGGAACATAGGGCTTTGCCCAACCTTCCCTCTCTACCGGCTTAGCAGGGTTTAGGAATGTGTCCGTCGACTGTAGATCGAACCCAAGGCCGCACGTTCAGTGAAACAGACTGCTTCTAACTACGTTCTTTTCTCTTTTGTTTTTCTGTGTTTTTTTTAGGTACACCTCTAGGTGTGAATCATTTTCGTGTAGGTGATTACCTGGATATAACTGCAAGAACGTAGGTTTATACATATTCACTGTTTTCATGAGTGTTTAAAACGTTTATTTTTCACAATTTACTTCATTGATGCATGCATGCATGACTTGTTTATCGATGTCTGGATACATGTGAATACGTTAAATACCAAACACAACCCAAGATGAATGAAATTTATAAGTTACAAATTTAGTTAGCTTTCCTCAAGTCAGGTAGGTAGCCAGGAATGGGGTGTATCAAACTGATTGGTGGTTCGGCTCTCTGAGCTAGCTGTGGCGAACCGTGTACACCTCTGGTGAGCTCAGACGCAAACAAGGGGAACACCCGTCCAGTGTTTAGACTACTTCGATCTGGCTGGCTAGCCAGCAAGCACTACTGGTTGGTGTGAGTGGCATGCAACTACTCATATCTGTCAGTCAGTAGTACATAGTTCCATATAACCCAAGATAGGCATCAAATCACTTTAATTCGTATTGTAAAAGAGAGTATTTAAGATCATAATAAAGGTTTTTGTATTTCCCAATGAATGAAAAAACAAAACGATATTGTTGTTTTTACTGACGTTTCGCTATTGAATGCTAATAGCTGCTTTATCAAAGTATTATTAAACCGGAATTTACAAAATCTCAGCATATATATAACAAAGAGATGTCACGTGTGTGGATGGATATCCCACCAACGACAATGTTTGGGGTCGCGCTAAATCACGAATTGGTAGAAGTTAGAATTCATTAACCATTGAATCGGGTCCCAGTGGCTGAATGGTATACGAGCTTGCCTTGTAACCGGAAGGTCCTGGGTTCGAATCCCAGTGGGTGCGTACTTCCGATGATTCCCAAACTAGGATGAAACAGCAGCTGCCCAGTACTCCCTAGCTGGTTTTCAATGGTTCTCTAACTGATATCAATCCGTGATCAACTCGTAAAAACATAACAAACCCTTACAAACCAAACTATAGAAAAAATGAAGATCACTAAACCAAATAACAAAGGTAATAAATAGTACGTCTGTTATGATATCAAAATAAAGTTTATTAACTTGATCATCGTTCGTCAGTCTGGGGTCATTTTTCGTTGTCAAGTTGGTCAATTGGTAAAGACAACAAAATCAAGTGTGGATTGTTGGATTTGATCAGTGTGTAAAATTATAAAAGCAGTGTGTGTTTACATAGTGAACTCGCTTATCACATTCGTGTTGATTTTGTTACTTCATGGTAGGGAAGGGTGTTATAACGCAATGGATTAAGATAAACCGCGTCGCCAATTTGTTGTAACTGTAGCGGGAATTAAAATGAGGTACGTTGTCGCCTTGTTCTGTCTGCGCCTGACTAATATGCCTATCTGCTTCTGGTACCTTCCGATTCAGCGAACCACGCAAATATCAAAAGACAAAGCCTGGTCTCTGACTGTGTATTGTAGTACAACAACTACGACTACGACGACGACTACAACGACGACGACGACTACAACAACGACGACGACGACTACAACAACGACGACGACGACAAATAAACTTATTTAGGAAATGGTATTTATACAATTTTACAACCAATAGAGACAGCTAACAGTATTTGAAATAATTGGTCGTAATAGTCAATAACAAAATGCGTGGGAATGATGATATACCACATATGCGAGATTAACAGTCATTAAGATAACTGAACAATAACAAAGTGCCTGGGAAATGACAATATAACACATATGCGAGATTAACAGTCATTAAGATAATTGACAATAACAAAGTGTGTGAGAATTGATGATATACAACTTATACGAGATTAACAGTCGTTAAGATAATTGAACAATAACAATATGCGTGAGAAATGATAATATACAACTTATACGAGATTAACAGTCGTTAAGATAATTGAACAATAACAAGTGTGTGGGATCCTATCACCTCCCCCCGTTAAAAGTGTAGGACTTGCATTTTGGATCTATTTGAAAAGGTTTTGGAGCTCTTCTTTGTCGAGTTGACTTTCGCGTACTGGATAGATTGTGATCTGCGTCCCGGGCTTCCGGCTGCGGGAGGATTTGGCGTCGTACGATAATGCAGTGAGAATCTGTGCAAAATTTCTTCTGTTGTTCCCTCCCCCTTCGGTTTTGCATAAGTACTTTGGTAAATTTGCAGCAACCAAGTTTGTCCTGGAAAACAGAGGCGTGCTTTTGACGTAGGCGTTGCAAGAGAGACTGATCAGATACATGTGCGGGAACAACATTATTTGGTGAGGACGAAACATTAGAGCATACTGAATTTAATGGTACATTGAAGAAATGGAGCTTGTCTAACCAGTCAAGACCAAGCAAATTCAAATCATGGTAGTTTGTGACATAACATACACCATTGAACTGTTGCTCACCAAACTGAACCTGGCAATTTATCTCACCCACGAGTTTCAATAGATCTCCAGAGGCATTCTTAGCGACATGCTTGGTCGGCAGAATCTGTGGGCACCCAAGTTTGCGCCACGTAGTTCGGGAAATTAAAGTGATATCTGATGCCGTATCCAACTGAAGACGAATAGATTTGCCGTTAATGCGTAGTGTAATGTACTTACGTTTGCTGGCGAAATTGACTTTGGAAGTTGTGAAAACGGTCTGTATTCGAGGAGATTGTTTCGGCTTAAAATGACGACTTCTGTTCTTCACCGAAGAATTTTTCTGTGGTGTACAGTAACCCTCTTTATGTCCAAAACGGTGACAATTACGGCATTTATGTTTCTTGAAAGGACAGAACTTGACAAAATGCCACGAACCACAGTGCCAGCACACTGAAGGAGGTTTAGCTGAATTCTGAGACTGACGTGCTGTGTGCTTAACGGTGATCGGAGGACTTTTCACTGTGTTAACTGAATCAAATTCAGACGACTGTCGCTTACAATCCAACATAGCAGTATCGTGCTTCAAGTTGATTAAGCGTTGGCATTCTGCTGTCACCATTTGTAAAGTCATTTTTGGGTCTTGTTCCACGAGTGACAGAAGTCGAGTTCTGATGTCAGTATCTTCAGGGTTCTTCAACCCACAAATAAAAATCAAACACTTGAACTGATCTGATGTCATTTCGTGTGGTTTGAACCTTTCACATTCTTTGTTCACTTTGCCAGCGTAAGTAACATAATCATCGGAAGGCATTTTTGTCAACTGAAAACATTGATACCGAATATTAAACATGGATGACTGTTCACCAAAGATTTGTGATAAAACGGTGACTGTCTCATCGAATGATAATTCACGTGGGTTCTTAGGCAGAATGAAGTTAACATATCTGTTGTGCTCAACAGTACCAAGTTTTCGTAGTAACAATCGGACTTTGGCAGCATCATCAAACATGTGGCATTCAATACGAAAAACGTCTTCATAACGATTGAACCATGCATCAAATACGAGACCAGATATTGGGTCGTAGTTGAATTCACTGATGGAATTTGAGATGCTTTCGTATTTGTCTGAATGAGATGTTGATGGAACTTGAATTGACAGCTTCTGAGTGAGAGCTTCGATTAATTTAAGTTGAGCTGCTTCATTCTGAAGTTGCTGCTGCTGCAAGATGGATTTGAGATCGTCCAGAGAGATAGACATTGTAATTGGGTTGTAATTAACACAGTCAAAAATGTTCTATAGATGCGCTGAACAGAATAAAACACGTCGTCGCTTGCTTGTTATAACTGCAGTGAATGAAAGTAAAACCCCGTCGGCAATTGTTATAACCGAAATGAATTGAGATAAACCGCGCCAATTGTTATAACGCAATGGATTAAGATAAACCGCGTCGCCAATTTGTTGTAACTGTAGCGGGAATTAAAATGAGGTACGTTGTCGCCTTGTTCTGTCTGCGCCTGACTAATATGCCTATCTGCTTCTGGTACCTTCCGATTCAGCGAACCACGCAAATATCAAAAGACAAAGCCTGGTCTCTGACTGTGTATTGTAGTACAACAACTACGACTACGACGACGACTACAACGACGACGACGACTACAACAACGACGACGACGACAAATAAACTTATTTAGGAAATGGTATTTATACAATTTTACAACCAATAGAGACAGCTAACAGTATTTGAAATAATTGGTCGTAATAGTCAATAACAAAATGCGTGGGAATGATGATATACCACATATGCGAGATTAACAGTCATTAAGATAACTGAACAATAACAAAGTGCCTGGGAAATGACAATATAACACATATGCGAGATTAACAGTCATTAAGATAATTGACAATAACAAAGTGTGTGAGAATTGATGATATACAACTTATACGAGATTAACAGTCGTTAAGATAATTGAACAATAACAAGTGTGTGGGATCCTATCAAAGGGGGTGTTGCAACCAGGTCAGATTCTGTTTTAGTCCATCATTCCTATTCAGACAATTTGGATTCCACTTGATATGAAGCGCTTCTGATATTAGACGTTCTTTGTGATTTCTGAAGTTTTTCTGGATTATTTCATTATTGTCAAAATCAATTTAGTGGCCTGATTATATTGCGTGTAGACCTATGGCTGATGATTTTTCAAGCTTTCTAGGTCAACTGGATTTCTCGGTGGCCGAACAGAGGCGGCTCTACGGTGTTCATTTCTTCTGATTTTGATTTCTCGTGATGTTTGTCCGATGTATATCGCATAACATTCCAAGCATTTTATTTCATAGACACAATTAGACAGAGAATCTTTAGGGATTTGGTCTTTTATATGGACAAGGTTGTTTTGCAGTGTGTCTGATGTTTTGAAGAAAACTCTGATTTTGAGCTGATTGAGTACTCTTCTGATATCGTTTGACGTCTCTGCTCTATATGGAATGACGACTGTTTTCTCACCTCTTAACTCTTTGTTATATATATATGCTGAGTGGATTTTGTAAATTCGGGTTTAATAATACTTTGATAAAGCAGCTATTAGCAGCATTAAATAGCGAAACGTCAGTAAAAACAATATCGCTTTTGTGTTTTCATTCATTGGGAAATACAAAATCCTTTATTATAATGAATATCATATACCCCCCAATACCCAAATTTTTTCAAACTGTTAAAAGTGAACTTGGTTTGGACATATATAGTATTTAAGATCTTTCAGTATTAACGAAAGCAAGAAATATATCTTAAACATCTCCCAACACCTTGTTAATCTTAGTTCTACAACCTGTTTTTTTTGGAAGTATGCGAATGGAAAACCAACCATCAAGGTATAATTTGAGCATCAATTACCGAGGTCTTGTTAACTAAATACTATGCGATTTGATTTTGTTATTGTTTGGTGGCTCTCAGTGGAATCTACGATGTGCGTTTCGTCCTACCTATGCCTCATCAACCGCATATAACTGCGGTATTCTCAGTGAAACTGAACATTTCAGTAAAAATAAAATCAAAATCAACGAATATTTCAAAATAATAATCGTAAAAACTAACAACTCTTTCGTTAAAAGCTGATTTGGGGAAGCAAGTCAGACGTTCACTACACCGAAATCAGAGTGGAAATCGACAGCGCTTAGTGTTTCTTTCATCCCTTTGCGTTCCGAGTAAAACATAGAGCTTCAAGGTGGAGCTGTAAAGTTTCCGTAACGGTGGTGTTTACTTTTTATGGGATCAGATTGCTAGCCTCATATTCAACCTTTCTCTTTTTGTCAGACTTGCTACCAGCTAACTGGTGTAGAAACGCACTGACTGGGGGTCGAACTCTGGATCACGCGCCTGATCGGCGAGCGTTCTACCGCCGAAACACAGGTGCCACAGCACTTAGTACAAGGAGTGAAAACTGAATTTTCAGCATTCATGCCAAATGAGTGCTCATACGTACTGGTATAGTTCAGAGACTTAATTGGCGCTTCACCAAAAGCATTTCTGACAGGCCGCCTCAGACTTTTGCCAACAGGTGCCTTCTCTGCCTTGATAGTGAAGATCAGGTAGCCAGCTGAATAAGATAAAGTAGTAAGGGACTGTGGCAGCAAAAGCCAACTGAAATCCTATTACCCAACAAATATGCAGAAGGAAATGGAAATGGGTTGAACATCACATGCTTAGGAGGTAGTCGAGTAGTAGCATCGCCCGCGCCAGACTCTCCAGTGAAACCTGAATGAATGAAAAGCGATTATTTGAGGATTCGAGAGTGATATGGGAGAGATCACATGAGGAGAACATGAGCGTTTGTGGGCAGTCATCGTTCCAGTTAGAAGTGATCGCAGAGAAGGTAATACAATCGGAAGGTGTCGCCGCAGCCTTATTTTCCACTTGAAACGCAAGGAATGAGTAGTGGTGATGAATTCCATGCTGGACTTCGTCCCCTTACTTTTTGCCCATATCAGCTTGTGTGTGTGTTTGTGAAAGATGATTTAAACCAATTGTAGATTTCTCTTGAGAAATATGGAACGATAATTTATAGTCGAATATTCTAATGAATAAACGAAACGTCTGATTACTGGATTTCACCATGAGCTGACATCGATTACAGAACTATTAAAAAACCTGGGATTACTTATTGGACAGCTATTTCGTCGTATTTTGATACTCCTCACCAGTACGCACTCACCGGGTTAAGAATCCAGGGCCTTCGGATTACAAGACAAGCTAGCTCGCAGACTATTCATCCACTGGGACCCACCAATCCACTGGCCAGACCATGAATTCTTACTCCTACCTATTCGTGATTGCTTTATCGCGACAGGCACTAGTCAATGTCATCGCTGGCAAGTATTTGTCCTCTATCTCGACTAGATGAACGCCAGAGCCCAGATAACTACCCACCTTAATACCACATAAAAATCCAAAGCATAGGATTGATCTAAAACACGTCACTCAATAAAAAGAATCAATAGAATGTATAAACCGCAAATTGTGAGGTATCTAAGCTGAGTGTCGTAAAAGGCAGTATCACTGAGTGATAATAAGAAAAACAACAGAGCGGTGTCAAGAACGATCCACAGCCCATAATAAACAGCGCAGGAATGCATAGGTCAAGAATAAAGGGATTCTAATAGGCGGTATTAAACACACACAGAGGAACACAAGGATTGAAATCTACAGCTGATACCGTTCAACCATAGGAGGACAAGTACTACATACCAAGTAGGATGCTGATACATTAAATGAGGTTAATTTCAGTGGGTTTGATTATGGTTACGGAGTTACGCTGTTGTAAACAAAATATAGACTCATACTACTTATTTAGTAATAAGTAGTATGAATATGAACACAAAAGAAACAGTAATAATCGATGGATAAGGTGTTGATCTAACTTAGCGGTATTGCTGTAATTATTAGTAAGATCATCCCATTCCTCTCTTCGTTAGCCTAACACCCTACATCTCCTGATCGTCAGTTTGAAAGTTAAACTCATATAGCTAAAGCATCGTCTCACTTTCAGTAAAGCTGATGACGTGGAATCTCGATTACACCAGAGAGAGAAAGAATGAAACCTGTTCTCTTAACAAAGGCATTGATTGATTGGTGAAACTGTCAGAATTTGAAAGAGAAGGTTTTTCATTTCAAAAAGCCTCTGAGATGATCAAAGTCTCAGTTTGATTAGGAGTCCTAACCTAACAGATAGTTATTCCTTATAGTATACCAGCGACTCCTTTTGAAATGCAGCTGCTGTTCTTAATTCAGGAACTTTTTGAGATTTCGACAAGTTCCAACGATATCGATATATAGTGAAGTGTTGTTTTGCATGGATTTCACTGGTGACAGGACTTCATCATGACCTGACACAGGTTAGAGAATCATTGGGAAACCTAGGAGTACTGGACAGCCCGTTGTTTCGTCGGCCTAGTTCGGGACTCTTCACCATTACCTACCCATCGGATTGCGAACCTATTGAATAGGCATTTATTCATTGGTTTTTAGGAGAACTCTGGACACCTATTCCTGCCTTTTGCGAAACGAGACAAGCATGCAATTATCATCCTGTGGCGTAGCCACTCGGAAGCCCTCTCCCTCCGTGGACCGATATCGGTATAAAAGTTCAATTTGAAGTTCTGGTCAGTCAGCGGAATGGTCTTCTCCCTATTTCATGCCGTCTTATGTGAACCGTTGTCACACACTAGTTAGTTTGTTAACATCAAACAACATGACTAATGTGATATCCCACAAAATGAAGGTGATGTTACTATTCCCATCAATCGTTAAGACTAATTTAAGTACCATAGGAAAAAGTTATTGATATTTCCGGAAAGCTTGTATCCGCATTGAATTTATTTATTTATTTATTTTCAAAGGATTTAGCGTTTAAAATCTTACCCTATTTGACAACTACATTTCAATCTAACCCCTATTTGCAGTACAACTTGTCGTTTGCTAGCTTCAAACCCCAAAGCTGGGCGGTCTAAGAGTACGTTGACCAGAGATCGAACAACACACGAACACATACGTATGGCTGGCGAGTATTCTTCAACTGACGCAAAAGGGATGGGACCTGGGAGTTCCATTGTTACGAGGCCAGCGCTCTGACAATTGAGTGGAGAGTGCATATTCCCAATTATCGTCATCACGATATATATTCACCGTAAAGTAAATCAATCATACCTCAGATTTTGTTGACTTAGTCAGTGATTGGAACTTATATTTGAAGTTGATAGGTGGTGGTGGAGTTTGGGCATACTTGGGAAAATATGCACTGGGATGATAAATGGACCCTCCCCCCAAAAAAGAAATGATATACAATTATTTAGACAAATTTATGAATAGAAACTCGTTTCAA